GCACTTCAGACCCCTCGTCCCATAGATACTACGTGGCCACCGTGTGGCAGGCATTGTTTCACAACTGGGGATTCTGCAGTGAGCAAATCTGTAAAGAATTCTTATTTCATGACATTTTATTGGAGGGAAGTATAAAATAATCAGGTAAAAACAAAAATCAATATAAAATTTCAGGCTGTAGGAAAAGCTACAGCAAAAGACAGCAGGGTAGAAAGCAGAGAGGGAGTGTGCTGGGCTGCTGTCTCAGGGCCGGTCTGTGGGCGCTGGCCTCACTGAGGGTGATATTTCAGGGAGCCATGAGTGATGTGGGAGAGGCAGCTGTGTGCCTGTCAGGAAGAACATTCCAGAGTGAGAGAGACCTGTGAAAAGTGTGTGGCGTGTCTGAGGAAGAGCAAGGAGGCCGGTGTGGAAGGGGTAGAGGAGATGAGGTCCAAGTGCTGGGAGCCAGGCCGTGTAGACCACTGTGGAGAAGCCACTGGGGAATCTGGAGCAATGGAATGACAGGGACTTTTCTCAGCGTGTTGAGGACTTTATTCCACTCCCACACAGTGTCTGCTGGAGGGTCCGACGGTGGCCTGATTTCTTCCTTCAAATGTGATATTTTTCCCTCTCTCCTGCTTTTAAGAACTATTCTGTCTCCAGTTACATTATGATATGTCTAGCTATGGATTTCATTTTGTTCATTGTATTGGGGATTTGTTGCGCATCTTAAATATAATCACAGTGTCTTTCATAAGCTAGGGTTGCCAGACTTAGCAAATAAAAATGCAGGATGCCCAGCTGAATTTGAATTTCAGGCAAACAACAAATAATTTTTTTTTGTTATGAGTATTCCATGCAATATGTGGGACATAATTACACTAAGAAGTTATTTGTAGTTTATGTGAAAATTCAGATTTCACTGGGTGTCCTATATTTTATGTGGCAACCATATCAAGTTCAGGGAAATTCACAACGATTGCCTTGACCAATTTCACCTCTCTTCCATTCTTTCTCTTCCTGGACCTCCAATTACAGCTGCATGACACCACCTCATTCTAGCCTCCTTCCCTCGTCACATGATATGCTTTCTTCTTACCATCTGGGTCAATTCTTTATCTGGTTCATGAGTTTTCTCTTCAGCTGAATATTACGTCCTATGTAACACATCACTTGGCTTTAATTTTGAAGATTATATTCATTTCACTTGTTCGTTTTCAAGTTCACCTAGAATTCTCTCTCCCATTTTAATTTCCTCCTTTAATCTTTAGCATATATTCTACAAACATCTGCGTCTGGCAGCACCGTGCTTGCTGTGTGGGGGCTCCACGTGGTGCCGGCTGCTGCTGCTCATCTCTGCTGGTGCCTCCTCGTGGTGCTGAGCTTCCTCGCCTATTTCATGTCTGTGCTGCTGGCCTGTGTTAGGTGGCAAGCCTATGGGGCCCAGTCTGGGAGAGTCTATACAGAAAGCTTTGCATCTGCTTCTGCCAGGTGTGCCAGGCCACCTCCAGCCTGGGATCACTTCATGATAGCTTCTTAGTTTAAGGTGTTCCAGATACAGGTAGCAGAACTGTAATTCCTAAGGGTAAATGAGGGTCACTCTGTAGTGAGACATCCTATGGAAGGAGCTCTGAGGGAGAAAGCTGTGCTCCCTGGTGCTCTCCATTTGCCGGCAGGGAGATATCTTCCAGTTCCCTCTTTCCTTGGACCTCTAACCTTCTGAGCGTGTGCTCTTTAGGCACGGACTCAGTTCCAGTTCCCAGACAAAGCCCCTTGTCCTGTCCCAGCAAAGTGACCGAGGGCTGAGCCTTCCGGAGGCTGCAGAGGACCCCAGGGCAGCCGAAGTCGGATTTGGCTCTGTGTTCTAGCACTCTCTGGGATTTGTGGCCCCTTCCATGAGATTCGCTGTTCATTTCACAGGGTTTTTGTGACTTTCTTGAGCACTCCTCGGTATTTCTAGTGGATGGGTGAGTGGGACATCCCATCTGCCCCACTGCCACGGCAGAATCAAGGCCGCTGTGGGGCATCTGCCCCTCCGTGACAAGGCGGATCTGCAGAGAGGCCCTCTACGAGCTCCTGGCTCTCAATCCTTCTTCTTTCGGTCCTAATGTTTCAGCCAGTGCAGCCATGTGTCTTGTTAGGATTTTTGCCTTCACAAACTGTCATTTAGGCTCTGACTGGGTGCGTAGCACCAAAGTGGACACAAGAGCAATTATTCTCTTGAGCGACCTCCAGCAAATATTCGACAAAGAAAAATTACACTTGCTAGTTTGCAAAGGCCATGCTGCGTGATTGATTGTTAATGCCAGTCTTTTGAAAAAGAAAGTATTTCTGCATTTTATTTCTGCTTAAAAGGCCTAACCCTTTGACTCTCAGCTGGTCCATGTAGAAGGTCTCTGATCAGTTAATTTTCCAGCAGGAATTCTAAGTTCTGTTACTGTTCTTGGGTATATTTATCATACGTTCAACACTTCTGCCTATGGCTGATATTTCAGGAAAAGAATCACACAAGCCCCACTGTTTCCACTCCTTCCATTTACAGGTGCAGTTGTGTGTCACATGTATGGTTCTTATAAATTCATACAAATCAGCCGGGAGTTGTGCACTGATATGTACCACGCAGTGAGTGAACTCAGTAGCTCTCAGCTGTTGACCCAAAAAAGAGTTCCCAATTTCTCCAGAGTGTTCCATTTCTATGCAACAGGAAAAGCATCTTCTATAATTTTGTGCTAAGAATTATTTTAAGGGGTAGAATTTCTCCTCAGTTGTCAGATTTTTCACCATATTCATTTTTCTTAAATACATTTTGTGGGCTGGGCATGATGGCTCACACTAGTTATTCTGGTGCTTTGGGAGGCCACAGCAGGAGAGTCTCTTGAGGCCAGGAGTTAGAGACCAGTCTGGGAAACATAACAAGACCCTGTTCCTACAAAAAATAAAAAATTAGCCAGGCATGCTTGTAGCGCTGCTCAGGAGGCTGAGGCAGGAGGATCACTTGAGGCCTGGGTTTGAGGCTGCAGTGAGCCATGCTCACATCACTGCAGTCCCGCCTGGGTAACAGAGCAAAACCTTGTTCCTAAATATGTACAGAGAGAGACACACATACATATGTGTGTGTGTGTGTCTATATATATAGACACACACATATACACACTGCCCCTTATCTGCAGGAACTGCCAACAGTTGACAATACAAATGAAAAGGAAGTGAAGATATTAAAAGAACAAATGGAAGCTGGGCATGGTGGCTCACACGTGATCCAAGCACTTTGGGAGGCCAAGGCAGGTGGATCACTTGAGCACAGGAGTTTGAGACCAGCCTGGGCAACATGGTGAAACCCTGTCTCTACTAAAAAATACAAAAATTAGCTGGGCATGATGGCACATGCCTATAGTCCCATGTACATGGGAGGCTGAGGCAGGAGAACCACTTGAACCCAGGAGGCAGAGGTTGCAGTGAGCCAAGATCGTGCCACTGCACTCCAGCCTGGGAGACAGAGGGAAATTCCATCTCAATAAAAAGAAGAACAAATGGAAACTAATCAATTCAGTTTAATTCGGCAGCTTTTCTTTCTTTCGGAAACACATGCAATCAGCTGTGATGTAGACCACACCTGTGATCACGTCCCGGTCCCCGGGATGAATTAGATGCAGCGCAGCAGCTTTTCAGCAGCTCCCACAGTGACTTCCTTGGCATCCAAGGGTTCTGTCTCCTGTGCAAGGTGAGTATCACTGTTATTCATCCCCGGAGGATGCTGTGGAGGGTGAATTATGGCTCTTTACTACAATTCATTATCCAACTGAAAACTGCAAATCGATATGAAAATGTAAAACTGAATGTTTACCATAGCAAGAGTCAAAAGCATTCAGAAGCAGAGGGCACCGACTGTGGGGTTAATGCTGGACCTGTGACCTCAAACATAGGACTCAGGGAGCCACAGAGTATATGGGAGGGAGAGAAAAAGTTCAGCCACGAAGATCACTAGAGCAAAGTTGGGAGAATCAACATTTTGTGTCATCATGAGAACATCATTCTGCCTAGAGCAAGATGTTCAAGGTTAAATAAAAAATGACAGAGCAGGTACAAAAATGCATGCTGAATATCAGTTCTTTACGAAGCGTGCCTCATCCTGTTCAGGCTGCCGCAGCAAAATGCCATAGACAGGCTGGCCTGTCCACGGGTGCTGGAGGCTGGAAGTCTGTAATGAAGGGCCGGCAGCTTCCCTGTCTGGTGACGGCTGCTGCCCGGTTCGAAGACAGCGTCTTCTCATTGCAGCCTCACATGGTGGAAGGGGCGAGACAGCTCTCTGGGGTCTCTGGGGTAAAGGCACTGATCTCATCCATGGGGCTCCACCCCTATGACCCCGTCACCACCCAAAGGCCTCATCTCCCAACACCGTTGCTTTGGGGATTAGGTTTCAACATAGGAATTTGGGGAGGGCAGAGCATTCAGCCCATAGCAGAGCGGATCACTACAAAACATGTTTAAGCAGCTGAGTGACACAGCATCCTGGTTTAGATATAGAAATTTACTGAATTTGCAGAGATAGGTACGCATGTTGTTGACATCCTGGTTGAAACGGTGAAACACAGCAAATGTGCTCTTAGGTGTTCACGCAGTTGTTCTCCTTGAGCATTTTCATACAGTATTTAAGTCCCTAAACCTTTGTTATAAATAGGGTTGCCAGATTAACAAATGAAGATTCAAGTCTCTCACTGAATTTGAATATCAAATAAACAGCAAGTAATTTTTGGTATGAGTATGTTTCGTGCAATATTTGACATACACTACTGTTAAAAATTATTCATCATTTATCTAAAATTCAAACTTCACTGGGCATTTTATATTATACCTGGCAAACCCTAGTTATAAAGCCAGATGATTAGAAAATACTCTGTCTCTATAAATCTCATGACTATTTTACAGATTATTTAATCTCATTAATATTTTATAGATTATTTAGATATAACATGTTTCTAAACAGATTCAATGTAACATACACTTAAAAATCCATTCTACAGAAAAATTCTACCCTGCTGGCTCCAGAGAAATTGTGTTTCCCGATGGGACAGTGGAACGATTCCAGGACATACAGGAAGAGACCTTGTTTCCTGACTGGACAATCCTAAGGGTAGAAAGGTTGGTAATGTCAGATGATGGGAATCCAAAACATCCCAATTTTTGGTTTTTGTATTTAATAATTTCTTTAAATTAATTTAGAATTTTGTAAGTATTTAAGTGCTTGTATAAATAGTAGAAAATAATGTCATCGACTCGAGAAGTTTTTTGTCTTATGGCCTTGATTTGAATCCCTTATTGGAGACTGTCAGATTTAAATTGACTTTTAGGTATTTACTTCACGGACATTAGCTGTGTTTGCATTATAACCATAAAAATCGCTACAGTCGGCCAGACACGGTGGGGCATGCCTGTAATCCCAGCACTCTGGGAGGTCGAGGCAAGCAGATCACGAGGTAAGAGATCGAGACCATCCTGGCCAACATGATAAAACCTCATCTTTACTAAAAATACAAAAATTAGCTGGGCGTGGTGGCACATGCCTGTCGTCCCAGCTATTCGGGAGGCTGAGGCAGAAGAATCACTGGAACCAGGGAGACAGAGGTTGCAGTGAGCCAAGATCCCGCCATTGCACTCCAGCCTGGTGACAGAGTGAGGCTCCATCTCAAAAAAAAAAAAAAAACAAACAAATCACTCCAGTCTTCAGTGCGTCCCCAGCTCAGACCACGTGGTCTAGAAGCCGAGTCTACTGCAGAGCATGTGCACACCAGTGTTTAAGGCACACCAAGGAAGCGCTCATCAGAGCTGCTATTTCAGTGCTGGTTTGTACAGAGAGTCAAGATCCACGCAGCTATCTGAGGGAGAGCGTGGGAAGCTGTTTTGGGACTTCCCTTTCTTTCCCGATATCCAAGTCACCACAAGCTCCGGGGGCTGTGTCTCCGCACTGCCCCACCTCTGCCTCTCTCCCAGTTCTGTGGTCCCAGCTCTCATCCTTTCTCTCCTGGACAATTGCAATTGACTCCCCCAGCTTCCTCACAGCAGTCAGAATCTTCCCTATCACGTCCGGGGACACTGCTCCGAAATGATACTATCTGTGGCCCTATCGCTCCCTGTGTCAACCCTGCCATCCCTGTCACCATCAGATCCAGCTGTCAGCACAGCCTTCAGCCTGCAGGTGAGCAGACGCAGCTGACTTCACGCCCTGCCTCCTGGCCCTCCTCACCTGCCCTCTCTCACCCACACCCATTTTCCAACGATGCACTGAGACTACCGGGCACCTTTCCTGCCCCTGCCCGTGGCCTTCTGCACCTTCACCTACCGAGATTTGGAAGAAGGGCTCCAGATCTGGGTGGAGGCATCGCCCTGTGCTCCCCCACAACCCACTGACCTCCACACTGGCAGCACTGGCCCTGGCACAGGCCGCCTGACCATGTGTTTCTCTCCCACGAATGGAGACAAAACCATCGTGCTCAGCAACAGGCAGAAAGAAATCCACATGGCCCAGTTCGAGTGGAGGGAGTACCCAGATGGCACCATCAAGGCTGTGTATTGCAGCGGCTGTCAGGAAACCAAGTATGCATCCGGGAGGGTTAAGACCAAAGATGAAGCTGGAAAGATGGTCCTGGACAGGAAGGAGATCCGCCCTCAGCACGCAGCATCACATGGGAAATGCCGACCACAGTTTCTTCCTAAAACAGACGAAAACTCATAACAGATTAGCTGCCCCAAATGCCCAAATGATCTTGGAGAGCCACCAAAGCTTTAGGACTACCCAAGTCATCTAGAAACTGCAAGGAAAAAGGCATTCTCTCCTGTATTTAGGAAACATGGTTAGAGCAGCATGCATCAGAGAACAGGAGGCTCACAAAGAACAACTTCAGTGCCAGGGATTGTTTTCACCTTAAACAATACTGTGCATACATCACTGTCATCCTCTATATTTTGGTAATGCGACTTAAGGTAACTCGAGAACAATGAGCTATCTTGGCTGTGAAGGAAAAAAGAGAATTCTACTACGATGACAGTGGATGGAGGCCTTTTCTCTTCAGGTGAATGCTAAAGCAATGCAAGGCAGTTTGTCAGGCATAACCGGCAAAACAAATCCGATATTAAAAAGCCATTTCGGGTTTGGCTGAAAAAATGGACCTGCCTATTGCTTTGATTATTTTGAATCAGCTTATACTAAGAATCGTCACTGAATCAAACAGAATGCTACACTCCTGTACTGAAGAAATGCACTTCTCATAATTCTGGGAGATGGGGAAAGAAACAAACGTGCAATTTGATCAGGAAGCCACAATCAGGCATCAGATCGCCTGCCTGCCTGGAAGTTTCCATTAAATATAATCTGCAGTACATGCTCCAATAGTGATGGGTGTCAAGTCTGTCATCCAAATAAGATGAATTCCGTGTGCGCATTCAGCCGGAAGCCCTTCGTGGAATATACATTCTGCAGTATTGGAAGTCAGTACAAGCTTATTAAAACAACATTTCCTACTGATTTTCAAAAAGCCAGAATTGACTTTTCGTTCTTAATAATCTCGTGAAGGCTTCTCATTAGATGTACAATCTGATTAGATTTATTACATTAATTTTGAGGAGGGGGGTCTCTATCAACCTACTTGCAGGCACCTTTATATGCAAATTGTACACAGGCACGTTTACTTGGTCTCAAAGGTAGTATCAAGACAATCACAAAAAACGACCAAGTACAACGGGCTGGGAGGTGGGGTGAGTCACCGCCCATCTGCACCACTGTCTACTCTCACCTTGGTAAAACCCCTCTGCTGACCCCCACTTCCTTTTCTGGAACTGATGCTTCATTCCCTGCATGGCTCAGGGATGCTGTGGAGATGGAGGCGATGGGACCAGCCACAGAGTGGTCTCGCCGTTCCACCAGGCGCTGCTCCTGAAGGGCGCTCGGAGCGAGCCTTCCTCCCTCTCCTGAGTGGAGTCCTGCATGGCTCCATGTGTTCCTAAAGTCCCCAAGTTTCTCATAGCACGGCCCCCAAGTTTCGTGGGCATCAGGCCCAGTCTGCCCCTCCTGCCCCTTCTCTCCTGCCCCCCGAGGCCCACATCATGCAGAAGGCCCTCCTTTAGGTCAAGCCAGCTTCCTCCGACTCATTGTTCCTTCTGCAAACCTTCCTGGGCTCACCCCACCCCACCCCCAGGCTAAGGCCCCTGATCCCCGCACCCCTCAGGTCCTCCTCACACTGTTTCCCAATGACCTGGCGACCTGCTGTCCCAACCTTAACGGCATGTGGAGGATGGAGCTCAGTCACCTTCACCTTCGCTCCCCAGCATCTAGAGAGGAGAGTGGAGCTTCAGAGGCTGTGGGGTAAGAACATGGAGAGGAGCCTTGTGAACTCTGATCGGTGTTAAAGTGAAAGGGGTTTCGACCTGGAGGCTGACTCCCAAAAACAAGGGCTCTGTTCAATGTTCACATGATCAAATTCACCTTTGAAATGACCTTTTCTTGAACACTTAAAGATAGATTCTAATCAGATTAAATTTCCTTAAATAATTAATACTGCACTCAGAGGTTTAGCATGGCCGATTCTCTTGAACAAACACCCGACACAAGAGACACAAGCCAACAGTCAAGATCATCACCTCCTCTTTCCAAACCTCCACTTTGAACCAGTTCTACAGCATTAACCATTTCTTCCTTATTCTACATTTTCCATACTCTCCTAGAATCATTACTATAATTTTATTCTGTGGTCATTTTTACTTCTTTCCCTGCTTTAAAGAAAAAGGCAGAAAGCCTGTGGTTAGTCTTGCCGTGGGTGTGGGTGTGACAGTGGGACGGGGCTGTTCCCTGGTTATTCCTCCTCCGGCATCTTACATCAAGTCACTGGGCATCGTACTCCTCCTTTTACGGTTGTACTACACATGCAACGTTAGCATTCTTGCATTTGAATGAACGCTGTTCACAACAGTTTTAGTTATTTGCAACCTGGGATCAGGCCACATCATGACTTCCGTTGCCTTTGTGAGATCTTCTTTTCCATTAAAAAATCTAAGCATTTAAGGTTTTTTACTGCATTTGTATAAAGGTGGATAGATCAGTCGTGCATGTTAAAACATTTTCTTTTAGTACATTTTTTTATTCTGATTTTTAGGAGATACTAAAACATTTTCATGGGTTCTGAAAAGTATCGTAGGCCCTCATGTGCCTGAGGAGACGCAGGCCCTGCCTGGTGTCTCGCCTTGTAGATTTGAGTGTCCCCTGCCTGCAGTTCCATCACGCGTGGTCCTGCTGCCTGAGATGTCAGCGGAGCTGTGGCTAGTGTTGGAAATACGGGCATTCTTCACCTCCCACATGGGCAGTGCCGCCCCGGAGAAGGTTCATCCTGGACAGGCAGGCTGGGGCTGTGGGGCAGCTCTCCGGGCTCACGCTTGGGGGTCCTCAGGGGTCTTTGGTCATCTCTGCCATAAGGGTGGGCTTTATTTTCTGCTCTGGACTCAATGCCCACTTTTCCCAGCCTACTTGGATTTCTTGTGGTTTCCCAAGTTTCTTACCTGCATCTGCAGATAGACACAGTTTATATCTATACTTTAGAAGCAGACAACATAAGGAATAAAACCACATTCCCCATTAAAGGGAATGAAATTAAATGCATCTTAGAGTCTTTTATCACAACTCTCTTTGTATATAACTTTTTTCTTCGGAATATCATTTTCAATTTGTACTTCATTGAACTATATTTCATTGTTGATTTTTTGTTAGGAGTTGATTCTCAACTGATCAAAACGTTTCTGTCTCTGTATCTCTTCCCGGGATATCTGTGGATGCATCCCTGCTTGCTGGGAATATGGCACCCGGCAGGTTGCATTAGTTCCAGGGGCTGCTGTCTCACCTAGCAGGCAGACCTTGGGGCTACTGTGGGTTTGGCTCCAGGCCACCATTGTAAAGCTCATATAGCAACAGAGCAGGTCACCCTAATATTTTGTTTTCCCAGTGCCTATGAAGTTTGGTTTATATTACACTGTAGTCTATGAAGTGTGCAATAGCATTAGGTCTAAAACATGAATATACCTTAATTTAAAAATACCATATTGCTTTAAACATGCTAATAATCATCTGAGCCCTCAGTGAGTCATAATCCTTTTGCTGGTGGAGGGTCTTGCCTGGATGTTGACGGCTGCTGATCGATCAGGGTGGAGGTTGCTGAAGGTTAGGGTGACTGTGGCAGTATCTGGAATAAGACCACAGTGAAGTTTACTGCATTGTTTGAATTTTCCCTTCATGAAAGATTTCTCTGTGGCATGCGATGCCGTTCAACAGTGTTTTACCCACAGAACTTCTTTCCAAATTGGAGTCAATCCCCTCAAATCCTCACCCATTGCCTCATCGACTAAATTTATGGAATATTCTAAATCCTTTGTTGTCATTTCAATGATGTTCACAGTAACTTCCCAGGAGTCAATTCTATCTTAAGAAATCACTTTCTTTGCTCAACCGTAAGAAGCCATTCCGAATCCATTCAAGTTTTATTCTGAGATTGCAGCAATTTGGTCACCTTTTTAGGCCCCACTTCTGATTCTAGCTCTCTTGCTCTTTCCACCTCATCTGCAGTTACTTCCTGCACTGAAGGCTTGAACCCCTCAAAACCATCCATGAGGAATGGTATCAACTTCTCCCAAACTCCTGTTAAAGTTGATATTGTTTCTCCTCCCATGAACCATGAGTGTTTTTGATGGCAGCTAGAATGGTGAATCCTTTCTAGGTTTTTAATTGACTTTGCCCAGATATCTCAAAGGAATCACTCTCTATGGCAGCTATAGCCTTATGAGATGTATTTCTTGAGTGACAAGACTTGAAAGTGGAAATTACTCTTTGATCCATGGGTTGCAGAATGAATGTGGTATTAGCAGGCATGAGAGCAACAATACTCTCCTTGAACATCTCCATCAGAGCCCTTGGGTGACCAGGGACAGTAATATTTTGAAACCAGTCTTTTTTTCTGCACAATAGGTCTCAACAGTGGGCTCAAAATATTCAGTAAACAGATGTGCTGCCATCCTGGCTTTGTTCTTCTACTTATTGAGCACAGACAGAGTATATTCAGCATAATTCTTAAGGTCCTTAGGATTTTTGGAATAGTAAATGAGATTGACTTCTATTTCAAGTCACCAGCTGCATTAGCTCTTAACAAGAGATATCCTGTCCATCCTGTCCTTTGAAGCTTTGACGACAGGCATTGATTTCTCTTCTCTCGCTATGAAAGTCCCAGATGGCATCTTCTTGTAACAGAAGGCTGTTTCATCTGCAGGGACAGCCTGTGGTTTGGGGTAGCCACCTCCATCTCATGTCTTAGCTGGATCTCTGGATAACTCGCTGCAGCTTCTCCATCAGCACCTGTTGCTTTACCTTGCACTTTGATGTTATGGACGTGGTTTATTTGCTTAAACCTTAAGAACCAGCCTCTGCTACTTTCAAACTTTTCTTCTGTAGCTTTTCCCTTCTCTCAGGCTTTGCAGAACGGAAGAGAGTTGGAGCCCTGCTCGGGATTAGGCTTTGGCTTGAGGGACTGTTGTGGCTGGTTTGATCTATAAAGACCCCTCAAACTTTCAAAATTTCAGCAATAAGGCTGTTTCACTTTCTAGTCATTGTTATGTTCACTGGAGTAGCACTTCTAATTTCCTTTAAGAGGTTTTTCTTTGCATTCACAACCTGTTTAACTCCTTGGTGCAAAAGGCGTTGCTTTCAGGCTGTCTCAACTTTGAACTGGCCTCCCCACTCAGCTTAATTCTCTCTAACTTTCGATTGAAAGTGAGAGAGGTGTCTTCTTTTACTTGAACAGTTAGAGGCCGTTGTACGTTATTGATGGCGTAATTCCACAACTGTGTCTCAGGG